CGCTGAGCTCTAACGACAAAACGGAGTGAGAGATATTTACGTGGGAGCCATATGGTTGAGCATGGCAAAACAGTTCTTAAAATGACGCTCATAAATTTCGGTAAACGGCCCCGCCGGAATTTATATTCCGCGTAGAGTAAAGGACGGTGCAACGGGCGTCCCTCCGTGTGCAGTTATTCCGGCGCGCTGGCGTAGCCTATATAACTTCCGGTATCAGGCATCCGCGATGCTCGTTACCCGGTCGAGAAGACGCGTCTCGCAGCCGACATCCGTGAACGTGGTTCACTGTAATTGAGAAAAATTATGGAAAAATCGAGCTTCGTTGCTGGGAAATATGTTCGTGTCGTTTCAGCAATTAACGCTTTAACGCTCAGAGTTTTCGATCGTTATTTTAGTATTAAGAGGCTGATATATGTGTTGTATCTGGTTATTTTAAAATTGACAATATCGATAGTAAATCAACGTATTTTTTATTTTTTTTTTATTTACTTTTCGATGGAATACTCGAATTTCTCTACCGAAAACATTGAGATTTTCCTCACATCAGCGAAACTACGGATCGTTGCTGAGATATTAACCGATGACAGAATTTCATGCATTTTTAAAATTAGTGTTGCACCGGTCCAACACTAGGGGTTGAAAGTGACGGTAATCTGTATTATTTCTGAGCCAATGACGAATCGACGACGTGTTGTCTTAATCGAAATCCCGGTTCAATTCTGTTCAGTATCTGGCAGTTAATAACGCTACGGAGACATTGTTTTTAATAAAAATAGGAGCTCCCCTGTTCCGAGGCATTCGGGACAGCGTGACGACGGGACTCCTCGTATATTCAGCCTGAATATATTTCGTATGAACGTTGTCGTAGCTTGGATACTTCACGTTCATGCATCACTTTTCCCTCATATTCTGTAATCTACATTCGTTTCCTTAAATATTGATATTCTGTGACACAACGTGCGCGTTCCCGTTTCCGGAAATCTTGCCGCTCATGCAAACTATTACCCGCGATATCGGAACCTCAGGAACTTCAACGTATTCTCGAGCTTTAGATTGAACATTATTTGTACGATGAGGATGTCAATTTGTCTGAGGATATTTTACTTTTACTTTCAGAATACAGTAGTTTCAGTGATACTAGCTGCACACTCTACACGCATTTTATACCTTGTTTTTGAAAGACTGACATGATGAAAAGAAGCTATTCAATATTGTTTTTTTCAGATTTGACATTTTAAAATACTATCGTGTGTCAAAGCCTGGAAGCTGATATTCAGCACGTATTATAGAATAACGTTATAGCATATCGGATTACGAGAAATACCATGAAACTTAACACTTCCATCAGATTTAATACGTATTCCGTGCCATTCTTAACCGAATAAAATCGTTAGGAGAAATAAAAGAATTTTGTTTTTACAGATCACTTTGAAATATTTCAGTTCTTACATAAATCCGTAGCACACGTTCCCGTAGTACACTACTAACACTTACTTATATTTCAATAAAAAAACTTCGAAGATCATACGCCGTATTGAATAAACATAACAACTGCAATACGTGATTCTCCCACTGCTTTCTGCACTGTATAAATATATTTATATATTATCCGTTTGACGAGACGAGTTAGTAAATATATACGAAACAGTTACATGCTAAGCTCAGCTACAGATTGTCTGGCAACTGTCTCTGTCCCTGTCGAATCTACATGATTACCACCTCCATTCATCTAGGTATTGACCTGACTATTTGAATGACATATAACTATACAAATACTTTTACTTATTAAAATAAGCAAATGATTAAATATTAACTTTGTTCAATTCCTTGTTTCATATTCAAATAATTTTCGCACAATAGTATACAGTAATGATTTCTTCAAGGTGGTACACCTTTCAACTTGTCTATCAAAGAAATCCTACCGCCTGGATCACGTTCTCCCGAAGGCTGTCTTTAAATATGACCCGACAGGATGTCGAGCCCGGCCAATAAGTCTGAGAGGATTCGATCAGCCCGTCCGCGTGACCAACTCCGACCGATAAGATTCCACAAACGAGCCCGCATCGTTCCTCCGATCCCAGTATGTCGTCGGAGCGAGTCGATCCGATTACTCTTCCGCCAGCGGGATTCGTTAAATGGCGACAACCCGGTCTGTTTCCGTTTTCTTGCCGTTTCACGGTCGCCTCCGCTCGAAGAGAAGCAAGCTGTTGACCCCCTCCGGAGCGGGTAGTCGCATGAATTATTAATGAGAAAATGGAAATTCGAGGCGGGGCCCGATGTAGAAGGTCGTTTAACCAGCCCGCGAAATTAACGCAGCGAGAGAGGCGTAACAGAGACATTTTTTCTGGTAAATCTCATCCCTTCCCGGAGTCTCTCATGATTGAATTTGTACGGTGCCATCAACCAGCAGTTTAACAATTTGTAAATCTTGTAGAATCTGCAAGAAGAAGGAACGCTGAGGTTTCCTCAGATAAACTACGTAGTTTGACTTTGCCGGTTTATATCGCAATTACTGCAAAAAAGCAGTCGAGTATTGACTGGGTATCTTTCAAGAGCCGAATCGAGAGGAGGCGAGCGCCGTGCTCGGATCAAAAAAGAAAGTCTGGCTGGGTGACGGAGGGATTATTTAATGGTATTTTTATTGATTTCCCGCGGGCCGTCCCGGAGAAAGAGTAACGATAAAACGCCAGCCCAGACTTCTACTACTGATTCATGCTGTTCTTGTATTTTTCCGGCTCCGATACACCGGTCTGACGGTTTAGGGTCGATATTGTTTCCCGCTGATGACTGAATGGGATCGGATAGCTGCTCGCGGAAAAAGAAATCGAGAACTATACGAAATCACTTTGCGGAATGGAGTTCCGCTTTGTAATCTTCTGTGCCTATTAGATGAGGCTTTTTAACGTCAAATGCGGCTAAAATAAATATCATTGCCTTCAGAATTCCAAGCATTGTCACTGTATTAAACCTTATTAAAAGGTGGGCGTTACACCTAGGGACCTCTCCTTGGCTGTGCTGAGCCTTCGAGCTCTCATCGAGGATTTACTTTAGCTACAACCTGGGTGACAATTCATTCTAATACAAAGCATAAAGAAGTACCGAAATAAATAGGAAAAAGTAACCGCTTTAAACTCACCGAGGAATCGCTAGTACTCAATACAATCGTCCACCCAATAAGCGTCCGATCTTAATTAATTATATGTAACCGATGCGTCGAACTAAAAGGTAGACACGAAGAATTGCTGGAATAGGAAATAACGGTCCGGTTGTCGCAACAGGCTGCGCTTACAATGAACGATTAATTGCTCGGTGGTAACTGTGACCAGCTTCTCCTCTCATTTCCGTCTGAGGTCTCTGGAAAATGTTACGACGCCGATAGAACGGACGACGGTGGTTGTGGCACACTGGGAACAACGGGGCCAGGCTACGATGGAACCCGTGGGTCGAAGAGGGACGACGTCTCCATCCAACGGGGTTCGCTCGGTCCCTGTTCTCATTTATGATCTTATGCAACGTGCGCGCAATGTTATATCTCTCCGGCTGCATGGCGGCGCATATTAAACGGTCGACTCTTATCCGACGTGGCCACGGAAACGGGTGTGACTGGTGTTTATGCCGCGGGAGCGGGCTGTGCAAACTTCTTCGGAAGGTTGCCCTCTTTACGCGTCCCGATGAAATGCTTTAATTGGCCGGCTTAAAGGGGAAAGTTCGATGTGCACGCTTCACGCCCGTATTATCCTTGAACTCGCTCGCGTTCGGTGATCCTTGAAATTTCATTAAAGTTTCACGCGACAGTTTGAAACGTTGCTGGAATTCATTGCTCCTTCGGGGAACCTTTTGGGGTTGACGGTGTTCGTTCGGACGACTGTATCGCTTAAAATGTTTCTGCTGGGTAATCGCCTGTTTCATTCGGGCACTTTGATAATCGTGATTGACGCGCGAGGAAAGAGTTGGTAATGTTCATGGGGAAATGATACCTTTTCTAGTCATTGTGGAATGTGGATGAGAGTAAGTGAGGCTTTGTACCAGTAGGACTTTAATATCACTTTTATACAGATGTATATTATTATGTAACTGTAGTATTATCTTTGTTCAGTGGAAATGATTGTACTTAAATAACAGGTAGGCTCAACCATACCTTTACGTTAGTCGTGATTCTTTATGTTGTGTACTTTTTTTTATTTCTTTATTCTCTGGTGTATTTTTTCTGGTACATTTATTTTGTATTCTGGTTGTGACTAAGATCTTGTAACTAGTATTAGTATCGAAAAGGTTTTTCCAGAATATCAGAATTGAAAGTTCGTCGAATACATGTATCATGGAAGACGGGGCCGCTACTCCCATCTTCTACTTCTACTTGCATTGACCCATTGAAGTAATGGCAATGGCTTAATATATTCTGACATTAGAAATAACTTAATATAGACTCACAGTTAAATAGTGGTTAAATCTCACAATCAGACAATAACATCTGGTAGCACCGGTAATAATTTTAAGTAGAATTAGTCGTCACTAGTCAGACATGACAACCAAACCGTATCCCAGCCATATTTCGAAAATGTTCAGAATGCACCATAAAAAATAGATAATCGTATGGAATAAACATATTTTATTTTAACGTATATTTTAACGTATGAAATTACAAGACATTCTGCCCTGTATAATACGACATACACGAGTATTCTACTGCAATGAATGTTTTGATGTTTGAATTTAAGTAGCGAAACGTTAAGCCCGAAATGCTTGTCTTCGGAATAATACAGTACAATTTTCGAGCAATTAGCACAAGCTCCCGTTTAAATCCGCTTTAAAAGCGCTTTGCGGAACGACGAGCCTCCAAGGGCAATCAGTTTATATACAGACAGAGAGGAAGGTAGAAAGAGAAACAGAATGTGGGAGAGGATCCCGGTGAACCGTTCGAGAGTCTCCAGTAAAAATAAACGAGATCCCCGTTAAATCTCTCATTAACGTCGCGTGAAACTTGGAAAATTTGATTTCAGATGTGCCCGATCCGCTGAAGCGTCCTCTGCTAGCAGGCTTCACCTCGAGATCCGTGAAACTGACCTGGGCGCCGAACATTAATTCTTACTACAACCCGATCTGGTACTACGTCATCGAAACTCAGTAAGTTCTTTAAATATTGATTTTACCCGTTTCCGTTCGACGTAAGACCGGTTTCCAATCACACTTCTCGCTTTATGATGAAATATTCGAAATCGAGGCGGGCGATCGAACCGCCTCGCGAGATATAATCTGCAACCCGATCGACAACGATTAAAACAATTCGTTTACGATCGTGCAGGTTCCACCTGAGAATTTTCTCTTTGTTCCGTGATTAGGATGGATCCTTGAAGAATCAGGTTTACACTGCGGATGAGTGAAACCCATTATTTTTTCGAGGATTTCGACAAGAGCAAATTTTAGCTATTAATAAATGAACTCTGGAGTCAGAGTTCGGTAAGCCATTTTACCACTGCACATTTTGGTGTACAATTGCACTTGTCGCGATATGGCTCCCATGGCTAATGGCGACTGATGTGTCGTAAACCTGAAGTCACGTAGCAGCAATTATCGTGCTCGCTAAGCACGCGGGCCATTGGGTCTGGTCCCATGCGAACTTTCCCTTAGCGGCCTTTTTCACAGGGGTATCTTCGACAGAAAGGTTCACCCCCACGTATATCACGGTGGACGATGATATCAGCTCCAAAAAAAAGATTGCCCACAAAGGAAATCTCTGCAAGGGATTCATTGGCCATACCAACACCCCCTTGAACACCTTTAACCCTGCTCGGTCGTATTTAGTTTGGGCACGGGTGGAAGTTTTCGTCAAACTAATGCTAATAGTATAATACAAGATTGTAAATAAAAAATGTATTATTTATTTATTCATACAGTACCGTAGCGTTGCTTAGGGTGAAGGGTTGACAATGACATCACAGACCGAGCATGTAGATGTCCCGATCTCTGGATATAATATTATCTAGTTTCTTGATTCAAGAGAACCGGAGTAAAAAAGAGACCAAGCAGGGGCGCGACCGAAAAATAGCCGTCTGCGTTCGAGTACGTCTCGGTCCGATTATCTTTCAGATACAAGGTATGAGTTCGAGGCTTTAGCCCCGAAGCGCCGGGAACGGAAACGGATAAAATAAAAGGAGTTACTAGGGATAAGAACTGCGGTGTCGATAAGCACCCTTTGTTCTCCTTCGCTTCTCCAGGACCTGTTATCTTCTCCTGCTCCTCCTCTCCTTCCTCGCCTGCTTCTTCTCCTTGTTCCATGCCACCCCATCCTCCTCTAACCACCTCCACCTTTCTCCAAGACACGAAGGCAACCCTCCTCCTCCTCCTGCACTTATCCCTGGTTCCTCACGTTCACCCCCATCCCCCACCGATTTTCCACGAAGAAATTCGCTATCGACATTTCCGAGTGGCACGTATATCGAATGACCACTCGCGAAGGTTGCGGGGAAGCAGGAAAATGTGCAGAAGGAAGTTGAACCGGTCGAGGAGCTCGGTTGGAAACGGTAGGCGAAGGCGTGGAAAAGTCTCACGCTTTCTACTTCCCCCCAAAACCCTAACCCTTCTCTGACCCCTTCCCCCCGTCGATGTTCCCCCGTACCCACTAACTCATTCGGTTGTGTCGATAGCTTTTGTCGTGCCAACTACGAGAAGGGAACTCCCGGTCGTTACCATAACTTTTATCGAACCGCGCGTAAATCGAGACGACTCGGGACACGTTGTAAATAACATCGGTTTAATTCAATTTGCTGCACGCGCCCCGCTGTCCATTCTACGGGTGTCATTGTCCGGTACCGGAACCTGGCCAGTTTTAGACGACCCAAATTTTTCGCGTGGTAATTCGGCCGGACATATCTATTGGACTAAACGGCGTAATCTATTTAGGAATTCTTTGGAGCTGATGGCTTTCTTCTGTTAAATCTCGTTTTTCCGGAAACCGTTCTTTATTGAATGGTGTGGCGAGAATAGATGGATGTAAGGTTCCTTATGGACTGTTCATGGAAATCTTTCCTTTTCGACTTTCTTCGGTGCAATTACCTTGGAAGTGTGGGCATCGATGTACAGAGCCTCGAGCTTTTTGGGGGAAGATGATGAAGCAAGACAGCGGTCTTTAAAGTATTTATTACTGTACTGTGAGCATAAGTATTTACATTATTCTGTAAATATTGTAAAACTATCTGTGCGTAACGTTATACCGCATGAACAGTGACTTATACGTATAGTGAGTACCGCGTGAACTTATATAGTGAGCTCATAAAATCGGTCGGAAGCCAAAGTTTGCAAGTTTCGACAGCCGAGACCGTAATTAGGAGAAGATAAGGAGATCCTAGCCTCGTTTAGGGCCGTACGATGCAAAAGTATGCCCCCTAATCCTTGGTAATAGTAGATCAATTTTTAGCAGTACGGCAATTATTAAGGAGCAAAAGACGATACTTAATATCATAAAGTCTTAATGAAAGATTGCAAAATTGTAGATTTTACCGAGTATTACTTTCCAAAATCATGTAGGTTCCCGTAACATCTACGAATATCGTCATATTTTCCACGGTTTCCACGCGTCACATTTCTCACCCCCATTGACTTTTACGATGACCGTAAGCCCCTCCTTCAGCTGCTTTATGCTCGCCGGCTGTAGATTGCCTAGTTTCAGGCAGTTTTTACGACAATTTTTTAACGCGCATAACTAAATAAAGACTGAACAGCGATTTTTTATTCTTGATTTTCGTTGCATGACTCGTTAATTTTTGTTAGATGAATCCAAATTTCTTGAGAACACCGGGACACCCAGCGTATTTGCAAACCTAAAGGGCTGTACTAATCTACCACCTACAGTATGTTACGTAAACATTTACAGTGGCCCGTATTAATATTCGGACACTATGGTACTTGAGTTGTAACACTTACTTTAGTTGCTAGAAACACAAAATTCATTTATTTAATTTCTACACTTTTCTTGTTAATGAATGATAAAAAAAAGTGTCTCATTCTGGCATTGCAAAAAATATTCGAACGCCACATTTCTTCAAAAAAGATACTACCGCGTCTGAATATTAATGGAACACTGTACGTGTCCCAACGATTCTCTGAAATCGCGTGACACTAAAAGGAAAGCAAGAAAGCGACCTGATATCAGTCGATCAAAGAGGGTCGAGAAATGAGTTTCATTGGGAATTGAAATCAAGATTCTATTACGGCGTATTAAATTAAATACGGCTTCCCTCTTCTGAAGAGTTCTTCTCGAGTTCATCAAACATCACCCCAGCAGTTTACACCGAGCAACGTCAACAAGCTCAAAAGTTTCTCTCCTCGGTCCACGAAAGAATGGAAAACAATCTCCGTGATACTTGAGAAGTCAATCGGTGTACTTAAAGACTTTTCACGCGGGCGAGGCCACCGTCTCAATTACGGAGATTCATTTCGTCGCGTTTCCCTGCATTATTAACACCCGCTCGTTTCACTAGCCTTACGGAGTTCAACCGAATTTTTTTTTATTGCACGCGTCGTACGGCCAAATGAGGACGGCGAATTGAAGCGAACGAAACGGCAGAGTGGACGGAGGGGGGAATGAATCGGGCGAAGATAACGCAAAGGAGGAAGAAACGTTGGGCATAACGGGGCGTGGAAGGGGTTGCAGAGGAAGAAAATTAGTTTGAGTGTATGAGGAGGGAAAGCAATGGGAGATTTTCCGAGGCGCGGGAAGTAGATCTTCAATTTTCATCTTTGGCTTCTTTCACCGACTAGGTATAGGATAGACCTATCATCTTATGGGACTTCGAGTCTCATATTCTGAAATACCGATAGTGTAAAAAATCAAAGATTTGGGGCTGCCCTCTACGTTATGAGAACGGTGAATTCGTGAAAATCATCGAAGGGACGTATTATGTAGAAAGGAGTTTTGGGTTCCAGTCCCGACGGACCTATTGGTTTTTTTTCGCGTACAAAAAAGTTATTTCGCTTAATATTGTTTTTATGAATATGTATATGTATTATTATGTACATTTGAGTAAATTATTTTAGTATTCCATTGTTATTACAACAGTATAGCAGTGACAACGAACGCATGTATATTTTCAAATATCGGACTAACAGTATATTTTTATTCTATATTATTCCATATAAGCGAGTAATACGCATCAAAAACGTAATCGAAACACAGGTTTTTATTACACCACAAACATCGCATAAAAGATATTTCGTTACATTGACATTTGTAATAATTATGGGTGTCGTGGGGAAATCAATATTATTAACATTATGGAATATATAACGAAATATCACTGTAACACTTAAAAAAGTGTTAAAGTTCCATTTATATCATTGTCTTGTGAAAATATTCATACTTCCATTAGCATTCATATTCCAATCAATGAATTTACAGAATAAGGAAAAGGAATCTAAAGTAATTTTCAGTAGTTCCATACATCTTTATCTCGAATAATTTTCTAAAACATTCAAAGTACTAGACATTTTTACACTTTGAATTTCATATCGATTT